GACAAGCGTAACCTATATGCTTCTGAAGAAGAAAAACCTACCTTTCTTCATGCCAAGAATTATTCCTAAAATATACTAAATGACCAAGATCCTATTATTTCAAGGAAAGACCAATAAAACTAAAGAGTGAGCCCAGAAACAAGCTAACATGTACAGAACCTAACTTATGCCACAAATGGTGTAGCAGATGTGAGAGAGATGATAGTGGACATTTCAATAAATGTTCTAGGACAAACTATGAGTCATACAGGAAAACAATAATAAAAAGTAGACCCTTGCCCAATAGCCATATATAATATTAAATCTGTCTGGGTTAAAGATGTAAAAAAAATAAAAGCAAAACCATACTCTATAGGACAATATCATTGTGTCTTCCATAAGGACAAGGATGGTTAAACAAAACACAAGAAAGTGCAAACTTCAGATGAAAAGAAATATATTAATGAAATATATTAATCTGACTATCAAAACCTCTGACTTCTGACCATCAAAAGTTAATGTAAAGGAAGTGAAAAGAGAGTTGCACATGGGAGGGTGGGATTTCTCAATACATACAAGAGACAAAGGATTAATCAATGTCCAAAAGATAAAAAGAATTCACAATCTATAAGAAAAAGAGGAATAAATAACTAATAGAAAAGATGAGGAAAAGTCTTAATAGATAATTCACAGAAAGGAAATTTGAACAACCAATAAAAGATACCCAGCCTGATCAGTAATTACAGAAATGAAAGTTAAAAACCACAATGAGAGATCTTTTATAATTCACTACAGGGGGAGGAAAAATGTGTGTTAACTATACAGCACTTCTGGTGGGTACAGATTAGTATAACCACTTTGAAAACAATTTAGCATTCTCTGTGTACTCTTTTGTGTTTTTGATTTTGCATTTTTTTTCATAAGTGTAGGAAAATAATCAAATATTTATTTTGTTTTTTTTGCATGAACTGAATTCTATTTTAGGATAACCAAATAAGTGATGAGGAAAAATTATTCTCTGTGGAAGAATTCTAGCTAAAAATGAGGAACAAATGACAGTAGTAGAGAATTACCATTATACAATCCTTGGTAAAAATATTTAGATACATTTCATTATTATATGCTAAAACCATTTGGGTGAAATGATGGGGAACTTTATTGTGCAGTGATCAGACTGATATCACCTGAACTCATTCATCAAGCTCACAGAGGTTCACATATTAAAAATTTTTACCTAAAAAGAAAAAAAATTGAGCCTGGATTTCATCAAGCTGGCTGACAGGAAATAGAGGGATAGAGGTGGGACGTAAAACAATAGCATAGAGTGATCAGTCACATTTAGAATACGAGACATTTCTTAGGATAAATGATGTGGTTTCTCCAACAAATCAACAGCATAAAAAATAAAAAGAAGGAGGAGATTGTTACTTAGGAAAAGAATTGCAGAAGATAGAATAAGAAAACACAAAATTATTTGGATTTCGATGTGGTTAAACCAACTGTGAAAAAATAACTTTAAGACAATCAATGAATTTTGAGTAAAAACTAACTATGTATTAGATGATATTAAAGAATTATTAGTATGACAACATCTTGATGTTTTCTGTTAAAATGTTATCAGATAAAGATTCATACTGAAATATTAGTATGAGCAATTCATATAGGTGAAATGACACATTTTACATTTGCTTTAATATAAACAAAGATGTTTAGGTTATAGAATCTAGTATTTTTGGTAAGTTATTAGTTATGGAGTGGTGGTGGAGAGGAAGAGGTCTAGGATCACATCTGGATATGCCTTGGGTTGCAAGGGCAATGCCATTATCCAAGGCAGGGGATACAGAAGCAACAGCACACTTCAGAGATTAAAATAAGTTTAATTTTGAAAATAAATTTCAGGTGCTAATGAGATACACAGAAGGTTCTCTGAAGTAAGCAGTAGGATATATGAATATGAAATAAGAAGAGAGATCTGTGTTAGGGTTGTAGCTGTGAACACAACTCAACTCTAGAAAAGTGATCAAATCACCCAGGAGAATGCACATTATAAGAAAAGAAGCCTACGGATGATCTCTGGTGAATGCCAACATGTATGAAATAAACAAGGGGACAGCTCAATGAGGGATTCTGAAAATAAAAAGGGTATTTGAATAGTGTTGAGAAGAAAGGCTGATTAATCAGCATAACAATTAATCAACACTAACCAAATAAGGTAGAGAAGTTAAGAAAGAGAAGAACTGAAAATAATCCACAGGGTGTTGAAGTTGGCAGTCATTGGTGCTGTTTGCAGGAGTCATTCCATTTGAATAATGGTGGCAGAGAACTAATTACTGTGGGTTAGCACCTACCTGAGGAGTGAGAAATGGAGACACTTGTTATTTTGAGGAGCTCAGATAAAAACTGAAAGAGAGGGAGTGAAATAGTTGGAGTGCAAGGAAGATTTCCTTATTTGTTTATTTTTAATATTTTTAGTTTATTTTTTATTTATTTTGAGAGAGAGAGAAAGTCAGGGAAGGGCAGAGGGAGAGGGATAGAGAATCCCAAGCAGGCCTTGTGCTGTCAGCACAGAGCCCTGATGCGGAGCTTGATCTCATAACAGTGAGATCATGACCTCAGCCAAAATCAAGAATCAGCTGCTCACCCGACTGAGCCACTCAGGTGCCCCAAGATGATTTCCTTTTTTAATATAGAAATGGCTTCAGCATGTTTAGAGGCAAGATAAAGGGGCTAGTTGAGAGAGTCAGTTTGAGAATTTTTAAAAACAGGGAGAACAGATGAAGTGTAGCTTCCGTGGAAAGATGGATGGAAAGCATCAAAAACATGTTGAATAAATTAGCTCTAAACAGAACAAGTTGGTATTTTTTCTCTGGATTCGTAAAAATGTTGTGAGACTAGATATATGTATAAAGGAATATTTCACTTGGTAAGAATAAACTATCAATTCTTTTTCAAGAAATAAATCTATTTCTAAAAGTAGAGGGTGCAGCCACCTAAGGTCAGACGTATTTTGCTTCAGAACTGTCACCAGAAAAAAAGCCTGAGTCATTCCTAGGGCATATATCCCTTATGGTTCTTGGGGAAGCATAGGTCTCGCTGTGTTGGAAGAATGTGCACAGGTTTGCAGCAAATTGGCCCTCTGAGAACTGGGCGAATGGACAAGACAGCATGGTTGTAGGCCAAGAGTCAGGAGAAGTCATATTCTGAATGCAGATGGCAGGCCCAGGGGCCAAAGGCTGCTGGAATGGAATTGTGAGTGAAAATAATCAGAAGGGTACTCTGAGGGGAACACTGACTAGTGAGGAAGTCTATTTTGGTTGACAAAGAGAAAGAATCAGTTGGTAGTCTCTATGTTTAGACTGAACGTAATATGTGAAAAGTGAGGCAAATCATATATTGAGAGGAGTCAGTGTCAACAGTTGGCAACAAAGGTCTTGAGGGTGGGGTGGAGGTTTAGAATATTTCTGGATATTTTTTAGAATATTTCTGGATATCCACACCTCAGTGAAATTTCCTAAAATTTCCCCTAGGAGTGGGGCGCCTGGGTGGCGCAGTCGGTTAAGCGTCCGACTTCAGCCAGGTCACGATCTCGCGGTCTGGGAGTTCGAGCCCCGCGTCGGGCTCTGGGCTGATGGCTCAGAGCCTGGAGCCTGTTTCCGATTCTGTGTCTCCCTCTCTCTCTGCCCCTCCCCCATTCATGCTCTGTCTCTCTCGTCCCAAAAATAAATAAATGTTGAAAAAAAAAATTTCCCCTAGGAGAATCCAGGAATTCGGCTACAGGTGCATTAAAAAAAAAAAAAAAAAAAAAAAAGTCCGTATCAATCTACTTTTGATGTTAGCAGGATAGATACAGCCAAAGCACAAAAAGATTGGAAGAGAAGAGTTAAATGACTTGTAGGTGAGATAAGAAAAGGTGGGTCCATTAAGGTGATGATGAGTTAAGAAGTCTTTAGAAAATAGCAATAGGATGCATAAAAATGGCAGGAATGTGAGAGGAGCAGAGTGTTATTTATTGTAAGTGTCAAATAATCTGGATACAGTGGAGAGTTCAAGTAGAATACTGCTACCACTTTTGAATTCTATGGAAAGTAAGAGAATTAAAAAGTTAGCTTGAGGGGCGCCTGGGTGGCGCAGTCGGTTAAGCGTCCGACTTCAGCCAGGTCACGATCTCGCGGTCCGGGAGTTCAAGCCCCGCGTCGGGCTCTGGGCTGATGGCTCAGAGCCTGGAGCCTGTTTCTGATTCTGTGTCTCCCTCTCTCTCTGCCCCTCCCCCGTTCATGCTCTGTCTCTCTCTGTCCCAAAAATAAATAAACGTTGAAAAAAAAAATAAAAAAAAAAAAGTTAGCTTGAGAGCTATTCAGAAGAAGATAGAAGGGCTGATCTGTGAATAAACTGACGGTATAGAGCAGATCATCTGTGATAGGTTGAGGTCTCCAGAGGAAAGGGCAGGGGTCAACAGTAAAAAGAATGTGGGTGGGGAGGAATCCCAGAATAGGCCAGTGATGAGAATAAATGAGGGTGAGCTAGTCAAAGGCTTGTACTTTGGTTGGTGGCCAAAGAAAAGAGCGAGGAGAATGTGTTAGATGGACTGTTCCCGAGGCTCCTAAGCAGACCAAGTCCCCAGTGGGCAAGAGCATATGAGATTAGCCATTTTTAGGCGCTACTTATCATTTAAAAGGAATGTCACTGAAAATTTACTTACCTCATCTCTGAAAAGTTCTCTTCCTCAGACTGTTAATGGAAAAAGTACATCTATGATCATTCCCCGCTTAATTTTTTTTATTTTGTATTCAAACCAATCTTATCATATTCCAAATGCATATGTATATGCATATCGACACAGATATATATATACTTTAGAGACAGAGAGAGAGAGAGAGAGAGATACATACACACATATCTATATAGATATATATAGATATCTCTACTCCAGGCACGATGTAGAACATAAAATAAAGATCTTTTACCATGCCACTGAGGAGCTTGTTCTCTTATTGAAAGTGTGAAGAGTGCATATAATTTACCTCATATCTGTGGGTTTTGGAAGGAGTCTTCTTTTTCCACTAAAATAGACTTCAAAATCTTCAATCTTTAGTCTGTGGGCATAGTCAATGTATCCTGACACTTCCTGCCCATGTGAGTTTTTGTCACGAATAAAGATCACGGTCTGGTAGAACACACAAAAGATGGAGAATAGAAAGAGTAAATGAACAAAAGTTATTTGAATACATTGCATATGATAATGAAAGCTAGAGATTTGGGTCATTACATGTATCAGACCCTATTCTTAAATGCTTTACATTTCAGCCTCGCCATGATCCTAGGAAGTCGGTATGATTATTTACTCCTGACAAATGAAGAAATTCATTACAAGTTAACTTCACATTCATATAATGTGCATTAACAATAATTTTATATGACAATATCAGTAAATAATTTATAGAGGTCTTCTAAAGGGCAGACATTAAGTATTTGTAGTATATTATTTACTTGTCCCCCAATCCTATGGTCTTCTTGATGTCATAATTTTTTTAAGTTTATTTGTTTATTTTGAGAGAAAGAATGGAAAAGAGAGAGAGAAAGCATGCACAGGAGTGGGGAGGGGCAGGGAGAGAGACAGAGAGAACCCCAAGTAGGTTCTGCACTGCCAGTGTAGAGCCTGATGTGGGGCTCGAACACAAAACCACCAGATGGTGACCTGAGCTGAAATCAAGAGCTGGATGCTGCTTAACCAACTGAACCACCCACAAGCCTCTTGTCATACTATTTTTTAGATGGGAAAACTGAGGAACAGAGAGGTTGAGTACTTCACTCATGTTCTCACAGCTAGAAATGGAAAATTGAGATTAAAACTCTGGCTCATGTGATTGTCTTTCTAATCACTACATCATTTTTCCATCTGAATGCTTATATATTTTCTGTTATAGAGATATAAATATCTGGTTCCTTCTCATGACCATGAAAGTCAAAAAATCTCTTTATAAATTAAAGTCACCTTACAAATTAATTCCATAAGTCCAAATAAACAGCAAGTACATATTTCTCATTCATCTTACTTCTTGCACAATATTGTTATTCACCTACTACATGTTAGGTTCCACTGTAAGTGCCAAGGACGCAAGACAGTAAGTATCCTGGCCTCTCAGAACTTATGTTCTGGTGAGGGGAGACAGATGAGATATGGAAAGGAAAAAGTACTTCTGGAGAGTGATAAATGCCATATAAATAAAGCAAATAAAGAAGCAAATAAAGCAAATAAATAAACAAAGCAAATAAAGAAGACGGTTGACTGGAGAATGAGTTGCTTGTGGTGAAGCTTACTTCAAGTAATCAGAAAAGACCTTGGGGAGGTTAATTTAAACCATGACTTGAAGTCTGAAGGATGAGAAAAAGTTAGCCATGTAAAGATCTAGAACAGAAGCCTCTCAGGCAAAGGGAATACCTGACGGCAAGGTCCTTAAGTGGGAACAAGCTCACGCAAATAAAAGAACTGTAATCTTTTCTCTATCGAGCCAACGGACATTGATCTCAAGTTCTAAGAGAAAAACAAAACAAACAAGTGAGGAAACAAAAAAATACAACTGTAACTGGAAGAGCTCTTGATGTATTTATTTCCAAATTGAATTCAAACTGCAGAATTTTATGGCAAAGTTCTACATTTGGAAGAAACGATAAAGAATCTTCCTTTTCCTCTCCAGCAATCATTAGATGGTTCCTTGTTGTATCTTTGTGTAGTCAATTATAGGAAGTACTAACATGGGTTACCTTAGACAGCAGAGCTTCCAGAAAACTAAAAGAATTTTTTCCTAGCCGAACCTGAGGAAACACGTTGCTAACAGTTTCCCAGTTGAAAAGCAGAAGAATAAGCCATGGTTTACTGCTAGTTGCTAGTTTGCTAAATTTCACCTGCCTGCTGTGGTTGTTTGGCATTGAGTGCTAAGGATACTGTGTTAAGAAGGATTCTGAGGGGCGCCTGGGTGGCGCAGTCGGTTAAGCGTCCGACTTCAGCCAGGTCACGATCTCGCGGTCCGTGAGTTCGAGCCCCGCGTCGGGCTCTGGGCTGATGGCTCGGAGCCTGGAGCCTGTTTCCGATTCTGTGTCTCCCTCTCTCTCTGCCCCTCCCCCGTTCATGCTCTGTCTCTCTCTGTCCCAAAAATAAATAAACGTTGAAAAAAAAAATTTAAAAAAAAAAGGATTCTGAGGCACATTCTTGGCTTAAAGACAGGAAGTATGGTGACGGATTAGTACCATTTCCCATAGATATGGCAGAAAGAGCTAGCATTGTCATTCCTGTGCTCAGACTTACATAGATTCAATCCCTAGTCCTTTTCATTTTCACCATATAACTCCAGTTAAATTTAGATTTCTCCATGTTTTTAGCCACACAGTTTTTAGCTTTTGCAGCACAAATTCTTAAATGGATGGTATCTCAATGAGACTTCCTGGGACTATTACACTATTAAACCCATACCTAACATTGCTATCCCTGCTTAAACAACACTATGTGCTGTAACTATCAATGTTTCCTATGCAGTCCTAAAGGTGCTTGGAATCTTTATGCCATCAAGGCTGCTCCTGATGTTAGGCAAGTCATACAGGCGCGCGCACACACACACACACACACACACACACAGAGAGAGAGAGAGAGAGAGAGAGAGAGAGAGAGAGAGAGAAATAAAAAGTCCCAAATAAGTCCTCTACTTTAAAATGGAACTCTATTAACAGGGGGAAAAAAAGACTCCTCTGTCTGCCTCTGTCTTTGTCCCTGTCTCTCTTTTTAAATGAGATGGGCCAGCCTTATTTTTTCAACAGAATGGCATACCAAATATTGTAACAGACCTTCCTGCTGAAAAATACAAATTCTGGGTAATATCTAAAAAGCAACTTGTAACATGCGTTGATGCACGGGCAAGAAAATGAGGAATACTAGAGTCAAACACTTACCAGACCCCCAGAAAGGAAAGCAGAGCCCTAAAGCCATCTTTGGCCTGCAGGCATGTGCCCAACCCCAGGGAATCTCAGCAAGAATTCCATGATTTGGGTGGTTGGAGGTGACCGGAAACAAAATCCAGCCTTTCAGGTAGAGAGACTAATAGGGCTTATTGCCTCAACATAGGGCAGAGAAATAAAAGGATGAAAACAATCTTCCATGTGTCCAGAGAAAAGAAGAATCATTCCAGAAGTATACATCCAGAGAAAGTATCTTTCTAGTGAGCAAAATATAGACATTTTCAGACCAAAGAATGAGACTTTTCTTTGATTGACAAAAGACTCTTGCTCAGAGAAATCCTAGAGGATGTCCAGTTGACCCTTTAACAACGTGGGTTTGAATGACACAACTCCACTTGTATGTGGATTTTTTTTTCAATAACTACAGTACAGTACTGTAAATGTATTTTTCCTTCCTTATGATTTTCTTAATATTTTCTTTTCTCTAGCTTACTTTATTGTAATAATACAGTATATAATACATACAACATACACGATATGTGTTAGTTAACTGTGTCATCAGTAAGGTTTCCAATCAACAGTAGGCTATCAGTTAAGTTTTTGAGGAGTTAAAGTTGTATGCAGATATTTGACTGCGTGGTGGGGTTGGCATATTTAACTCCTATGGTGTTCAAGAGTCAACTGTACTTCATGCAAAAGAAAGTGACTCTAACTGAAAGGTCAGAGATAAAGAATAGAATGATAATCAAAGAAAATAGTACATATATGGAAAAAATATAAACAAATACTGACTATGTAAAAGAATAATAATAATGTCTTCTGTAATATAAAAAACAATAATATGTCTAAAATTTTAAAACAAACATATATGTTAAAATGTTGGAATGTCCTTGGATTTTTAAGAATAAAAGCAGTTATATTGATTAATTCTAGAATCTGATAAATATACATGTATAAATCTAGGACCACCATCAACAAATAGAAAATATTGTATGTGATCTTTAAATTATTAAAGGAAGAAAAAAATGAGGAAAAAGTGATCAATCAATGAAACAGAGGGCAAGAAGGTAGACGAAAAATATGGGAGAGGCAGGAAAAATCCACATACAAGTGGAGCTGTGTCATTCAAACCCACGTTGTTCAAGGGTCAACTGGACATCCTCTAGGATTTCTCTGAGCAAGAGTCTTTTGTCAACCAAAGAAAAGTCTCATTCTTTGGTCTGCCAATGTCTATATTTTGCTCAAAATGTAATGATAGTGGTATGGGCTGAATTGTGTCCCCTCAAAATCCACATGTTGAAACCCTATCCCTCAGTACCTCAGAGAATGTATTCGGCCATACGGCCTTTAAAGATGTTATTAAATTTAAGTGAGCCCATGTGGGTAGTCCCTAATCCAATCTAACTTTATAAGAAGAGGATATTTGGACCTATAGACCTCAGGGGTTTGTATGCAGGTGAAAGACCATGTGAAGACTTAGTAGGAAAGGGGTACTGGCAAGCCAAGGAGGAAGGCTTCAGAAGAAACCAGCCCTGCTGACATCTTGATCTGTCTTTGACTCCTAGCTTCAAGGACTGGGAGAAAATAAATTTCTGTTGTTTAACCACCCAGTATGTGGTATTTTGTTATGGCAGCCCTAGCTAACTTATATATATGGTAGTAAATTAAAATAGTTAAGTAATGACAATGTAAATGGCTAAATGTTTAAGTTAAAAAACAAAGGTTCTTAGAATGGATAAAAAATATGGTATAAAATGTACAGTTGAAAGTTAACTGTTTAAAGAATATGCATACGAAGATGTCCAACAGAGGGTTGGTATTAGCATATTAGTATGAGACAAATGAGTTTGAAGACAAAAACTGTTCCTAGAGATGGAGAGTCACTAGACAATGATAAAAGATTCAATGCAGAAAGATAGAACAATTATAACCTTGAACGAACCTTTGAAAACATAGTTTCAAAATATGGAAAGCAAAAATGGATAGAACTACAACGATAGATACACAAGTCATCAGCATCGTGGTTAATTTATCTCTCACCTTAGGTTTCAGATCAATCCATAAATTCCATAATCATTCTAAAATTAATATAGATTGTAAAGAATTAAAAACACAAGCTTGAGTGCTCGGTTTTTACCTTAGCCAAATACCTAAACATCTCAATGTTTTGCGGATAAAATGACTGATGGTCTAAAACTATATATATATATAGCCACG